GAGCTAAACCTTTTGCTTCGCCCCTGATATTCTGCTTCCTGCTCCTGCACAAGAGCGAACGCTGAGTACAAGATGGAAACAGGAGGAGCTGCAGCAGCTTGCTGGGACGGGCGACGGCCAAGTGCCCCCAGCAGCCCTGTGGCTCGCTTCAGTGGGAAGTGGACACTTTCTCCCACGACACCCAGAGACGGGTGGTAAAAGTAGAGGGGAAATTCCTGTTAACTCTCACCTAAAAGTTACGTGGATTCTTTCTTCCCAGATTATTTAAACCTTTTCCCACCTGATGTTTCCCCTCATCTAAAAATTGGCCTGGCTTCCAGCGAAACATTTCCCTGACGCTTCTAGTTCTTTGTTGTGGAAAGTATAAGCGGGGGGAAGGTTTCACAATGGCACCTCTGAAACCTGTATCTTTGCAAACCGTCCTTCTTGTGTTTCTGGTAGCAACAATTTTAGCCCTGGGAGAAACTGTGACCTTTGCTCAGTAAAGTTGATTTTCTCCTCTATTTGAGCTCTAAGCTGCTTTTGATTTCTGTATTTTAAATGGTATCTAGTCACTGCCACCTGGTGCCAGGACATGCATGGTATGGAAGAGCTTTCTTTTCTCATCTGATGACGGCTTTTCTGTGCCAAGCATCATATAGCTGTCACTTTCCTCCCTAATTTAAATAGGGTTTTGTACGCGCAGTGAATTCTGGAAGGAAAATGACCATTGATGGGACTGAGGTGGGGAGAGGATCTGGCCACATGCTACAAACAGGTGGGGCTGAGGTTGCTGGATTAGTGGCTGACCCTCCTCCTCTCCTCAGCACTTTAAGAGGCTCACAGGTGTAGTGTAAGACAGGTACCTACGTCCTTTCATAAACCTCATTGCCTGCAGATGGGGAGAAATGAGGAAAGTTAGTTTTCCAGAAATTATGCTTCCGCCCAAGGACCCCGACATCTGTAAAGGGAATTGGATAAATTGTAGGCTGGGTAGTGACAGATGAGAATAAGGTCACTTCCAAGAAGCCTAAATTAGTCAGCTCTTTAATTTGCATGTTACGTAAGGGGGGGGAGACTCCCCCCCCATCTTGTGTAAGAAGGGGCGTGGGTGGACAGGACGGCCCCTAAGAGGAAAGTAAGGTGCAAGAGGGGCAGCGAGTGAAGTAAAGGGACAAGTTACACAACTTTCATTTAATTGAGGATTGTGTTTCAAATCTGCAGAAAACAGCATGTTGCTCCCCTTGTTCCCTAGACAGAAAGGCACAGTTTTACAATCTCCTTTTATTGTTTTGCTGATAAGCAGGCATTTCACATTTCTGACACTATACAAAACGTCCTTTAGAAAACTCAGTCAGTGCCATGGCTTTTTCCAGCTGGAACATTAAAACCAGAGCTTGGCTGGCCAGCTAAGTTTTCACCCCGTAACACAGTGTCTCAGCTGTGGCCAGCCAAGGTACTCCAGCTAGAAAGGGAAAAAGCCTGCTGCAGGAGCAGTCAGCTTCAACTCCTGCTTCCACCCTTGCCCAAACGGGTAGCAGTGCAAATACAGCGCGCACTTCCCAGCCCTTGGAGCAAGCTGGTTTGGCGGGCACCGGGATGACTTGTTGAGTACATGACTTTGTACAATCGCGCACGACTTTGTATTTCCATTCCGCAAATACTGACTGCTAGCCAAAGTTTAGTCCTGTTCTGCTTATTTTAGAAGACCCCTACTGTGACCCATACTGTTACAGACTCCTACTATAAACAGCTATAGAGTGAGCGAATCTTCCTTCTTTGGCAAAACTCCCGAAGGGTATTTCTGCGTGGCACAGACCTGCCCGGTACCTCCCAGCGTCCAAGGAAGGGTCAGGGGGTTACCCCTTCCTGGGGAAACCCACCTCCCGGCCTGGCAGTCCCCGCGGCCTGGAATGACCCACCCGGGCCACTGGCAACTGAACATAAATTTGTTTTTGCGTTACTCGAACAAGCAACAGGAATAGCTTGATTCTGGTCAGTCTCAAGATCTGAAAGCAGAGCTATCAGAAATCGCTGAATCAGAGGATATGGATCTCTGACAACAATAATATTTATGAATCCTTACCAAAAATTGCTGAAGATTTTTTTGGTTTTTTTTCAAAAAAAAAAAAAATAGCACCTCCAGAAGTCCCTGCAATATGTTTGTGCTTTGTTACTCAAAGGAAACATGCATGCCATTTTTGCCAGCTAACAAAATACTTTCTAACAAAGCATTTTGACAAAGCTGAAAATATCTTACACCGATGTGAGTCATTTTGGCTTCAAGTGCACATCTTAGAAAAAGGAATCTCAGGAAAAAATCTCTTTTAAGTGCTGGCATGAAATACGGTCTTTAAGTGACAGGCCTGGAAAGGCTATGCATATTTGTATTCTATACAGAAACGATAGCTATCTTTCAACCCACACAACTGCTTTGTGTTTTTTCTTTTTTTTTAAAAACACGAAGAAGCAAAAAAAAATCACCTAATTTCTTTCCCAACTTTTCAATACTGATAAAGTTAATTAATTCAGTGGGCTACAATTAGTTTTTATATGTAGCTAGGTGACCTCTGCTGGTAGATTCTTATCATAACTGCAATAATTCACACATACAGGTACAGATACATTGGTATTCTGGTAAGTGCTGCCCTACATGCACAAGAAGATGTAATACACAGGAAGATACAATCCCTGCTCTGAAAAATAAACTCCCACGCTGAAAAGGTGTAAAAAAAAAAATTTTATAACCCAGCTTTCTCCACTCACAGATGTTTTATAGGGCAGATTTTAGAGAACCTTTGATAAAAAGGTACAACCATCTCAGGATGGGGCCACTGGTGTTTATTCAGCATAATGGTCTACATGCTCACTATTGCTCGGAAAGCCCCGAAGCTTCATCCTGCTAGAAACAGGGAGGTTGTACCGAGGAAAGGATTAGTCTCCACTTGCATTCCTTTCTTGTACTCTTTCTCATACCATCTGCTAACAGCCATTGTGGGAGAAAGGATACCAGCTAAATGGACCTTTATTCTGACTCAGCATGGTTGTAGACAGTCTGTCCGCTATGATACAGCAGCACAGTATAATTTGATACTTTAAAAAAATAGCCATTCACCTGAGAGATCACAATGCAACTTGCAGTTAACAGTCTTGGTCATTGTGATATCCAAGGTCATTTCTATTATTACAGCACAGTGCACGGAAATACCACAAATACCAAGAGAGTCTTATCTATTTATCATAGGTGAAATTGGCACGCTTTGCAGCACGACGGCTCCACGACGGATCACAGGCATCCGAGTTCATTTGAGTTTATATTCAGAGGCTGCCTTTCTCAGTTAGGAGCTCAGTGGACTTCATGCATGTATGTATGTATGATGGCATTGCCACGGCCATTTCTCAAGTGTCTAGCTTCCACACTGACAGCTACTGCACCTCAGCACACGGCAGCAAATATAAACGTTCCCTGACCTTGCCAGAGTTAGCGGTAGGAGCCAAAGGCAAAGGCTGGGCACGGGTCTTTCCTCCTCCTGACCACACATCCCTGGCTTTGCACGCCTGCTGCTGCTGCTCGCACTGCCCGGACCCTAAAACGTGCAGTGCCACGGAAGAAAAAGGGGGGGTTATACCCTAACGTCTCACCGCTGCTGCCGAACCCAACCGTTTGA